CTCTGCAGTCGATTGACGCTCCCCAGCGTTCAAGTCACATGACATATTTAACCGGATGTAGCTGCAAGACGGAGCCTCGTTCACCCTCCGTTTCAACTTATCTCAAAAGTGAGGACCTCAAACTATATACCAGTTTTTAAATTGTGTTGATAGGCCAAATAAGACCAGAGTTTTGATAAATTATGTCCGCGATACTTTTTTTCTGCTTATTTTGATCACGTTCGGCGCTCGATCACGCTGTATGAGACAGGAAAACATAGCATGCAGACATTAGCGACAGCTCTTACAGGCGGAAAAGGCATGCCAAAAGAAAAAAAAAACACACCACAACATCTCTCCTATTGGTGGAAAACTTCACCACAACAACCAATCCAAAATTATATGGTGACTGATTGACAAGGGGCGGGCGCTTACGTTCTTCCTGCAATATGAGAAGGGAGGGAGGAACTCTCAGCAGGGATGCAGTCTGGGAAACGTAGTTGCAAACCTAGCGACTTTGTTGTTAGATTCAATGACTTTTCAGACCCCCTAACGACTTTTTTTAGAAAGAAAGGGAATTTTATCGACTTCCTCTGGAGTTTAGAGACTCTGACATGAAGCAGGCTTTCCTTACTGAGGAGTTAGCAAAGCTGCTAAGGGTGCAGAGCCACACATGCGCTCCGAGCTCTGCATGGGAGACTAGAGCTGAGAGAGCTGCAGCAGTTAGCAGGTTTCACCCTCAGAGACCACCAGGAGTTCATGTTGAGGCATTTTCAGTTTTTTTTTTTTTTTGCCATAGACACTGTCAGCACAATCTGCAGTTACACTAACAAAAATGCTGCAAAAAACAAAGAATTATGGAAAAATTACACATGGACTGACATAGAGGAGGATCTACACAAGTTTTTTACATCATGTTTTACATCATGCATCATTTACATCATGTTTTTTTGTAGAGGCATAAATAAAAAGTGACATTTGTGAGACTATACAGTGTTTTGTAAATAATTTTACAAAGAACGCCTGGGCCATTGCCTGCATTTTGATGTAAATAGAGGTAAATTACTATGCTCTTTGTTAAAAATTTGCATATGTTTTGAAGTTTACAATTTTTATTTGAAGTTTAAGTGTTAAAAACAGTTCATCACACATATTTGTGGTTTAATTTCACATTAATTTCCATATTGTATAAATGACTGGAAAAAACTTGAGCCCCTGCCCCTGTATAATCATGTGCACGTCCCTGTTCTAGCTCCAAGGTGAATCTTCACTGCTCATGTTCTCCTCAGAAGTAGTCACCTCACTCTCCTCAGGTTACTGTACACATGCACCAACTATCTGCTTCAGGTTTGGATGGAGCTTCATGGTTGTCTTTTGGAGAAATGAACAGTCAAGTTGTGTTTGAAATTTGATTTTTTTCAGGGGCAAAAGGAAGCCTCTGCATTCTTGTCAAATATGTAAACAGCATGTTTTTGCAGGTGCTAAAAAACAGACTCTGAGTGTGTGTGTGTGTGTGTGTGTGTGTGTGTGTGTGTGTTGGCGTGTGTGTGTGTGTGTGTGTGTCCGGCAGTACTCTGTACTCCTGCAGTGGCCAACAAGACTTTTAAGAATGTGGATTTTTGGGTCATCTTTGGCGCCCCCTAGAACTGCAGTACTCTGTACTCCTGCAGTGGCCAAAATGACTTTTAAGAATGTGGATTTTTGGGTCATCTTTGGCGCCCCCTAGAACGTAAACCGTGGGGTGCAGCGTCATGATTTTTACAACTTTGAATGGCCATGGGGTGTAGATTGCCCTGAGCAAATTTGGTATCGGTGGGACGAAAGACTTAGGAGGAGATAGCCACATTCCAATGTGTGCGAATCGGCAAAAAATGCGAAATAGCCCTTTAACCATACATTTGACAGATACGTGCCTATTGACTTTTTTGTAGATCTTATTGAGATACACGTGATTGTCAAATTGTGTGTCAATATGACAAAGTGTATAGGCGTGACACTCAACAATGTGTATTTTTACCTTAGGAGACAAGAAAAAATGGACTTTTTTCTCCTGCCATGGGGGGGCGCTCTTTTGGGGAGTAAAAATTCCTTCACAAATGTGTTGATGGCTGGACATTGCATCATCCTAGAAAACTTGGAGGCCAGTGAGGACAAAAATAAAAAGTTATAAGACTTTTAAGAATGTGGATTTTTGTGTTATCTTTGGCGCCCCCTAGAAAGTAAACCGTGGGGTGCAGCATCATGATTTGTACAACTTTTAATGGCCATGGGGTGTAGATTGGCCTGAGCAAATTTGGTGCCGGTGGAACGAAAGCCTTCGGAGGAGTTAGCGAAATTCCAATGTGTGCGGATCGGCAAAAAAAGCGAAATAGCCCTGTAACCGTACATTTGGCAGATACGCCCGCACTGACTTTTTTGTAGATCTTATTGAGATACACATGTGTGTCAAATTTTGTGTCATTTTGACAAAGCGTACAGGCATCAGGTGAGTTTTCACCATAGGGGGCGCTATGGAGCCATTTTTCATTTTTTTGTTTGGACGACTTCAGAATATCAAATTTTTCACCAGGCCCGGTTGTCCTGCCAAATTTCCTGAGTTTTCGCCAGTGGGAAGTGGGCCATTTTCCAGTTTAAAGCGGAGGAAAAATAACGAAAGAAGAATCCATCAGGAACAAGAGGGCTCTCGCAGCTGCTTAGCAGCTACGCTCGGGCCCTAATAAGAAGAAGACTAGGGCCCCGGTGGGGCACTGTCGGGCCCGAGCCGCGTCGCGCCGCCCCCAGGGCGACCGCCTCCCCCTCCCGATCGCGTCACACTCAAGATCCAAAGATGGTGTGCGCACTTGTCTGTGGTCATTTCCCATTATAATGAATGGGAGGCGCAGTTTCTACCAAAACACTCGCTGCAGACAAACTTCATGTCCTATTTGAAAAAAGTCTGGACCATGAGTGAGGGCACAAACACAGCTATGATATATCGAAATGGCAGGTTGCTCCTCCTTACGGTGTTGCCTGGAGAGCGATGCGATTGAGCCATTGAGCGATGGGCAGGAAAAACTTGACTTTTTCTCCTGCCATATGGGGGGGGGGGGGTGTGGATTCTTTTAAGAATGTGGATTTTTGGGTCATCTTTGGCGCCCCCTAGAACGTAAACCGTGGGGTGCAGCGTCATGATTTTTACAACTTTGAATGGCCATGGGGTGTAGATTGGCCTGAGCAAATTTGGTGTCAGTGGGACGAAAGCCTTAGGAGGAGTTAGCCACATTCCAATGTGTGCGAATCGGCAAAAAATGCAAAATAGCCCTTTAACCGTACATTTGACAGATACGCGCGAATCGACTCTTTTGTAGATCTTATTGAGATACATATGTGTGTCAATTTTTGTGTCAATATGATAAAGCGTACAGGCGTGACAGTCAATAGTGTGAATTTCCACCTTAGGGGACAAGAAAAAATTGGCTTTTTTTTCCTGCCATGGGGGGGCGCTCTTTTGGGGAGTAAAAATTCCTTCACAAATGTGTTGATGGCTGGACATTGCATCATCCTAGAAAACTTGGAGGCCAGTGAGGACAAAAATAAAAAGTTATAAGACTTTTAATTATGTGGATTTTAGGGTTATCTTTGGCGCCCCCTAGAACCTAAACCGTGGGATGCAGCGTCATGATTTGAATAACTTTTAATGGCCATGGGGTGTAGATTGGCCTGAGCAAATGTGGTACCGGTGGAACGAAAGCCTTCGGAGGAGTTAGCGAAATTCCAATGTGTGCGGATCAGCAAAAAATGCGGAATAACCCTTTAACCGTACATTTGACAGATACGCGCGCATTGACTTTTTCGTAGATCTTATTGAGATACACGTGTGTGTCAATTTTTGTGTCATTTTGCCAAAGCGTACAGGTGTTACACTCAACAATGTGTATTTTCACCTTAGGGGACAAGAAAAAATGGACTTTTTTCTCCTGCCATGGGGGGGCGCTCTTTTGGGGAGTAAAAATTCCTTCACAAATGTGTTGATGGCTGGACATTGCATCATCCTAGAAAACTTGGAGGCCAGTGAGGGCAAAAATAAAAAGTTATAAGACTTTGAAATATGTGGATCTTAGGGTTATCTTTGGCGCCCCCTAGAACCTAAACCGTGGGGTGCAGCGTCATGATTTGAATAACTTTTAATGGCCATGGGGTGTAGATTGGCCTGAGCAAATGTGGTGCCGGTGGAACGAAAGCCTTCGGAGGAGTTAGCGAAATTCCAATGTGTGCGGATCGGCAAAAAATGCGAAATAACCCTTTAACCGTACATTTGACAGATACGCCCGCACTGACTTTTTTGTAGATCTTATTGAGATACATGTGTGTGTCAATTTTTGTGTCATTTTGACAAAGCGTACAGGCGTAACAGTCAATAGTGTGAATTTTCACCTTAGGGGGCGCTATGGAGCCATTTTGCATTTTCTTGTTTGGGCGACTTCGGAATATCAAATTTTTCACCAGGCCCGGTCGTCCTGCCAAATTTCATGAGTTTTCGCCAGTGGGAAGTGGGCCATTTTCCAGTTCAAAGGGGAGGAAAAATAATAACTAGGACCCCGTTGGGGCACTGGCGGGCCCGAGCTGTGTCGCGTCCCCCCCCCAACGCGCTGCCTCCCCGTCCCATTTGTGTCCTCTGGCCATCGTCCTCTCTGGTAACGCCCATCACTGCAAAGACCCTTTTCCTTCATCGGCGTTTGCTGTTCTTCCTGCCAGTGCGTGTTGCTTTCACTTACACTTGCCACAGCCAGCCTCTTGAGTGCCTAGCCTATTGGATATCACTGTCACCTACTCAGGACAGTCATTACCTTTCTATTAATACTTTGTTTTTTAATTTCACATTAATTTCCATATTGTATAAACAACTGGAAAAAACTTGAGCCCCTGCCCCTGTATAATCATGTGCACGTCTCTGTTCTAGCTCTAAGGTGAATCTTCACTGCTCATGTTCTCCTCAGAAGCAGTCACCTCACTCCCCTCAGGTTACTGTACACATGCACCAACTGCCTGCTTCAGGTTTGGATGGAGCTTCATGGTTGTCTTTTGGAGAAATGACCAGTCAAGTTGTGTTTGAAATTTGATTTTTTTCAGGGGCAAAAGGAGCCTCTGCATTCTTGTCAAATATGTAAATAGCATGTTTTTGCAGGTGCTAAAAACCAGACTCTGAGTGTGTGTGTGTGCGTGTGTGTGTGTGTCTGTGTGTGTGTGTGTGTGCGTTCAAGTCACATGACATATTTAACCGGATGTAGCTGCAAGACGGAGCCTCGTTGACTCTCCGTTTCAACTTATCTCAAAAGTGAGGACCTCAACCTATATACCAGTTTTTAAATTGTGTTGATAGGCCAAATAAAACCAGAGTTATGATAAATTATGTCCGCAATACTTTTTTTCTACTTATTTTGATCACGTTCGGCGCTCGATCGCGCTGTATGAGACAGGATAACATAGCATGCAGACATTAGCGACAGGTCTTACAGGCGGAAAAGGATTGCCAAAAGAAAAAAAAAACACACCACAACATCTCTCCTATTGGTGGAAAACTTCACCACAACAACCAATCCAAAATTATATGGTGACTGATTGACAAGGGGCGGGCGCTTACGTTCTTCCTGCAACATGAGAAGGGAGGGAGGGACTCTCAGCAGGGATGCAGTCTGGGACACGTAGTTGCAAACCTAGCGACTTTGTTGTTAGATTCAATGACTTTTCAGACCCCCTAACGACTTTTTTTAGAAAGAAAGGGACTTTTATCGACTTCTTCTGGAGTTTAGAGACTCTGACATGAAGCAGGCTTTCCTTACTGAGGAGTTAGCAACGCTGCTAAGGGTGCAGAGCCACACATGCGCTCAGAGCTCTGCATGGGAGACTGAAGCTGACAGAGCTGCAGCAGTTAGCAGGTTTCACCCTCAGAGACCACCAGGGGTTCATGTTGAGGCATTTTAATTTTTTTTTTTTTTGTGCCATAGACACTGTCAGCACAATCTGCAGCTACACTAACAAAAATGCTGCAAAAAACAAAGAATTATGGAAAAATTACACATGGACTGACATAGAGGAGGATCTACACAAGTTTTTTACATCATGTTTTACATCATGCATCATTTACATCATGTTTTTTTGTAGTGGCATAAATAAAAAGTGACATTTGTGAGACTATACAGTGTTTTGTAAATAATTTTACAAAGAACGCCTGGGCCATTGCCTGCATTTTGATGTAAATAGAGGTAAATTACTATGTTCTTTGTTAAAAATTTGCATATGTTTTGAAGTTTACAATTTTTATTTGAAGTTTAAGTTTTAAAAACAGTTCATCACACATATTTGTGGTTTAATTTCACATTAATTTCCATATTGTATAAATGACTGGAAAAAACTTGAGCCCCTGCCCCTGTATAATCATGTGCACGTCCCTGTTCTAGCTCCAAGGTGAATCTTCACTGCTCATGTTCTCCTCAGAAATAGTCACCTCACTCCCCTCAGGTTACTGTACACATGCACCAACTATCTGCTTCAGGTTTGAAATGGAGCTTCATGGTTGTCTTTTGGAGAAATGAACAGTCAAGTTGTGTTTGAAATTTGATATTTTTCAGGGGCAAAAGGAAGCCTCTGCATTCTTGTCAAATATGTAAACAGCATGTTTTTGCAGGTGCTAAAAAACAGACTCTGAGTGTGTGTGTGTGTCTGTGTGAGTGTGTGTGTGTGTGTATGTTGGCGTGTGTGTATATGTGTGTGTATCCTGCAGTACTCTGTACTCCTGCAGTGGCCAAAAAGACTTTTAAGAATGTGGATTTTTGGGTCATCTTTGGCGCCCCCTAGAACTGCAGTACTCTGTACTCCTGCAGTGGCCAAAATGACTTTTAAGAATGTGGATTTTGGGGTCATCTTTGGCGCCCCCTAGAACGTAAACCGTGGGGTGCAGCGTCATGATTTTTACAACTTTGAATGGGCATGGGGTGTAGATTGCCCTGAGCAAATTTGGTATCGGTGGGACGAAAGCCTTAGGAGGAGATAGCCACATTCCAATGTGTGCGAATCGGCAAAAAATGCAAAATAGCCCTTTAACCGTACATTATAAAGATACGCGCTCTCTGACTTTTTCGTAGATCTAATTGAGATACACATGATTGTCAATTTTTGTGTCAATATGACAAAGCGTTCAGGCGTGACACTCAACAATGTGTATTTTCATGTAAGGGGACAAGAAAAAATTGACTTTTTTCTCCTACCATGGGGGGGCGCTCTTTTGGGGAGTAAAAATTCCTTCACAAATGTGTTGATGGCTGGACATTGCATCATCCTAGAAAACTTGGAGGCCAGTGAGGACAAAAATAAAAAGTTATAAAACATTTAAGAATGTGGATTTTTGGGTTATTTTTGGCGCCCCCTAGAACCTAAACCATGGGGTGCAGCATCATGATTTGAATAACTTTGAATGGCCATGGGGTGTAGATTGGCCTGAGCAAATGTGGTGCCGGTGGAACGAAAGCCTTCGGAGGAGTTAGCGAAATTCCAATGTGTGCATATCGGCAAAAAATGCGGAATAACCCTTTAACTGTACATTTGACAGATACGCGCGCATGGACTTTTTTGTAGATCTTATTGAGATACATGTGTGTGTCAATTTTTGTGTAATTTTGACAAAGCGTACAGGCGTGACAGTCAATAGTGTGAATTTTCACCTTATGGGACAAGAAAAAATGGACTTTTTTCTCCTGCCATGGGGGGGCGCTCTTTTGGGGAGTAAAAATTCCTTCACAAATGTGTTGATGGCTGGACATTGCATCATCCTAGAAAACTTGGAGGCCAGTGAGGGCAAAAATAAAAAGTTATAAGACTTTGAAATATGTGGATTTTAGGGTTATCTTTGGCGCCCCCTAGAACCTAAACCGTGGGGTGCAGCGTCATGATTTGAATAACTTTTAATGGCCATGGGGTGTAGATTGGCCTGAGCAAATGTGGTGCCGGTGGAACGAAAGCCTTCGGAGGAGTTAGCGAAATTCCAATGTGTGCGGATCGGCAAAAAATGCGCAATAACCCTTTAACCGTACATTTGACAGATACGCCCGCACTGACTTTTTTGTAGATCTTATTGAGATACATGTGTGTGTCAATTTTTGTGTCATTTTGACAAAGCGTACAGGCGTCAGGTGAATTTTTCACCTTAGGGGGCGCTATGGAGCCATTTTGCATTGTATTGTTTGGGCGACTTCAGAATATCAAATTTTTCACCAGGCCCGGTCGTCCTGCCAAATTTCATGAGTTTTCGCCAGTGGGAAGTGGGCCATTTTCCAGTTCAAAGGGGAGGAAAAAGAAAAAAGAAACAAAGAAAAACCCCTTGGGGAATAATAGGGCTCTCGCAGCTGCTTAGCAGCTACGCTCGGGCCCTAATAACTAGGGCCCCGTTGGGGCACTGGCGGGCCCGCGCTGTGTCGCGCGCCCCCCCCCCCCCCCCCCCTCTGGTAACGCCCATCACTGCAAAGACCCTTTTCCTTCATCGGCGTTTGCTGTTCTTCCTGCCAGTGCGTGTTGCTTTCACTTGCACTTGCCACAGCCAGCCTCGTGAGTGCCTAGCCTATTGGATATCACTGTCACCTACACAGGACAGTCATTACCTTTCTATTAATACTTTGTTTTTTAATTTCACATTAATTTCCAAATTGTATAAACGACTGGAAAAAACTTGAGCCCCTGCCCCTGTATAATCATGTGCACGTCTCTGTTCTAGCTCTAAGGTAAATCTTCACTGCTCATGTTCTCCTCAGAAGCAGTCACCTCACTCCCCTCAGGTTACTGTACACATGCACCAACTGCCTGCTTCAGGTTTGGATGGAGCTTCATGGTTGTCTTTTGGAGAAATGACCAGTCAAGTTGTGTTTGAAATTTGATTTTTTTCAGGGGCAAAAGGAGCCTCTGCATTCTTGTCAAATATGTAAATAGCATGTTTTTGCAGGTGCTACAAACCAGACTCTGAGTGTGTGTGTGTGCGTGTGTGTGTGTGTGTGTGTCTGTGTGTGTGTGTGTGTGTGTGCGTTCAAGTCACATGACATATTTAACCGGATGTAGCTGCAAGACGGAGCCTCGTTGACTCTCCGTTTCAATTTATCTCAAAAGTGAGGACCTCAACCTATATACCAGTTTTTAAATTGTGTTGATAGGCCAAATAAAACCAGAGTTATGATAAATTATGTCTGCGATACTTGTTTTCTGCTTATTTTGATCACGTTCGGCGCTCGATCGCGCTGTATGAGACAGGAAAACATAGCATGCAGACATTAGCGACAGGTCTTACAGGCGGAAAAGGCTTGCCAAAGGAAAAAAAATACACACCACAACATCTCTCCTATTGGTGGAAAACTTCACCACAACAACCAATCCAAAATTATATGGTGACTGATTGACAAGGGGCGGGAACTTACGTTCTTCCTGCAACATGAGAAGGGAGGGAGGGACTCTCAGCAGGGATGCAGTCTGGGACACGTAGTTGCAAACCTAGCGACTTTGTTGTTAGATTCAATGACTTTTCAGACCCCCTAACGACTTTTTTTAGAAAGAAAGTGACTTTTATCGACTTCTTCTGGAGTTTAGAGACTCTGACATGAAGCAGGCTTTCCTTACTGAGGAGTTAGCAACGCTGCTAAGGGTGCAGAGCCACACATGCGCTCAGAGCTCTGCATGGGAGACTGAAGCTGACAGAGCTGCAGCAGTTAGCAGGTTTCACCCTCAGAGACCACCAGGGGTTCATGTTGAGGCATTTTCAGTTTTTTTTTTTTTTTTTTTTGCCATAGACACTGTCAGCACAATCTGCAGTTACACTAACAAAAATGCTGCAAAAAACAAAGAATTATGGAAAAATTACACATGGACTAACATAGAGGAGGATCTACACAAGTTTTTTACATCATGTTTTACATCATGCATCATTTACATCATGTTTTTTTGTAGTGGCATAAATAAAAAGTGACATTTGTGAGACTATACAGTGTTTTGTAAATAATTTTACAAAGAACACCTGGGCCATTGCCTGCATTTTGATGTCAATAGAGGTAAATTACTATGTTCTTTGTTAAAAATTTGCATATGTTTTGAAGTTTACAATTTTTATTTGAAGTTTAAGTTTTAAAAACAGTTCATCACACATATTTGTGGTTTTCACAGTAAAAACGTTACTTTTTTCCACTCGGATTTTATGTTTTGTGTGTGAATTTGGGTCCAATGTGTAAATATAGTATGTCAAAATGATAAAATAACTGTAAATTGACACAGGTGAGGTTGTGCTGAAAAAAATGATACCAGGCAAGGCAAGGTAAAAATTTTGTAAGAGGAAATATAAAGGTAAAATCTAAAGTAGTCAAAAACGGCCAATAGTGACTCACAGACTCCACAGACAAGTCCCTTTGGCGCCACTCAGTGGGCAAAACTACTTTGTCTACTGTAATGTATATTTGGGTCATCTTTGGCGCCCCCTAAAACGTAAACCGTGGGGTGCAGCGTCATGATTTTTACAACTTTGAATGGCCATGGAGTGTAGATTGGCCTGAGCAAATTTGGTGTCAGTGGGACGAAAGCCTTAGGAGGAGTTAGCGAAATTCCAATGTGTGCGAATCGGCAAAAAATGCAAAATAGCCCTTTTACCGTACATCATACAGATACGCGCTCTTTGACTTTTTCGTAGATCTAATTGAGATGCACATGATTGTCAATTTTTGTGTCATTTTGCCAAAGCGTACAGGCGTGACAGTCAACAATGTGTATTTTCACCTTAGGGGACAAGAAAAAATGGACTTTTTTCTCCTGCCATGGGGGGGCGCTCTTTTAGGGAGTAAAAATTCCTTCACAAATGTGTTGATGGCTGGACATTGCATCATCCTAGAAAACTTGGAGGCCAGTGGGGACAACAATAAAAAGTTATAAGACTTTTAAAAATGTGGATTTTTGGGTTATCTTTGGCGCCCCCTAGAACGTAAACCGTGGGGTGCAGCGTCATGATTTGAATAACTTTTAATGGCCATGGGGTGTAGATTGGCCTGAGCAAATGTGGTGCCGGTGGAACGAAAGCCTTCGGAGGAGTTAGCGAAATTCCAATGTGTGCGGATCGGCAAAAAATGCGAAATAACCCTTTAACCGTACATTAGACAGATACGCGCGCATGGACTTTTTTGTAGATCTTATTGAGATACATGTGTGTGTCAATTTTTGTGTCATTTTGCCAAAGCGTACAGGCGTGACAGTCAATAGTGTGAATTTTCACCTTAGGGGACAAGAAAAAATGGACTTTTTTCTCCTGCCATGGGGGGGCGCTCTTTTGGGGAGTAAAAATTCCTTCACAAATGTGTTGATGGCTGGACATTGCATCATCCTAGAAAACTTGGAGGCCAGTGAGGGCAAAAATAAAAAGTTATAAGACTTTTAAATATGTGGATTTTAGGGTTATCTTTGGCGCCCCCTAGAACCTAAACCGTGGGGTGCAGCGTCATGATTTGAATAACTTTTAATGGCCATGGGGTGTAGATTGGCCTGAGCAAATGTGGTGCCGGTGGAACGAAAGCCTTCGGAGGAGTTAGCGAAATTCCAATGTGTGCGGATCGGCAAAAAATGCGAAATAACCCTTTAACCGTACATTTGACAGATACGCCCGCACTGACTTTTTTGTAGATCTTATTGAGATACATGTGTGTGTCAATTTTTGTGTCATTTTGACAAAGCGTACAGGCGTGACAGTCAATAGTGTGAATTTTCACCTTAGGGGGCGCTATGGAGCCATTTTGCATTTTCTTGTTTGGGCGACTTCGGAATATCAAATTTTTCACCAGGCCCGGTCGTCCTGCCAAATTTCATGAGTTTTCGCCAGTGGGAAGTGGGCCATTTTCCAGTTCAAAGGGGAGGAAAAATAATAACTAGGACCCCGTTGGGGCACTGGCGGGCCCGAGCTGTGTCGCGTCCCCCCCAACGCGCTGCCTCCCCGTCCCATTTGTGTCCTCTGGCCATCGCCCTCTCTGGTAACGCCCATCACTGCAAAGACCCTTTTCCTTCATCGGCGTTTGCTGTTCTTCCTGCCAGTGCGTGTTGCTTTCACTTACACTTGCCACAGCCAGCCTCGTGAGTGCCTAGCCTATTGGATATCACTGTCACCTACACAGGACAGTCATTACCTTTCTATTAATACTTTGTTTTTTAATTTCACATTAATTTCCATATTGTATAAACAACTGGAAAAAACTTGAGCCCCTGCCCCTGTATAATCATGTGCACGTCTCTGTTCTAGCTCTAAGGTGAATCTTCACTGCTCATGTTCTCCTCAGAAGCAGTCACCTCACTCCCCTCAGGTTACTGTACACATGCACCAACTGCCTGCTTCAGGTTTGGATGGAGCTTCATGGTTGTCTTTTGGAGAAATGACCAGTCAAGTTGTGTTTGAAATTTGATTTTTTTCAGGGGCAAAAGGAGCCTCTGCATTCTTGTCAAATATGTAAATAGCATGTTTTTGCAGGTGCTAAAAACCAGACTCTGAGTGTGTGTGTGTGCGTGTGTGTGTGTGTGTGTGTCTGTGTGTGTGTGTGTGTGTGTGTGTGTGCGTTCAAGTCACATGACATATTTAACCGGATGTAGCTGCAAGACGGAGCCTCGTTGACTCTCCGTTTCAACTTATCTCAAAAGTGAGGACCTCAACCTATATACCAGTTTTTAAATTGTGTTGATAGGCCAAATAAAACCAGAGTTATGATAAATTATGTCCGCGATACTTGTTTTCTGCTTATTTTGATCACGTTCGGCGCTCGATCGCGCGCTGTATGAGACAGGAAAACATAGCATGCAGACATTAGCGACAGGTCTTACAGGCGGAAAAGGCTTGCCAAAGGAAAAAAAGACACACCACAACATCTCTCCTATTGGTGGAAAACTTCACCACAACAACCAATCCAAAATTATATGGTGACTGATTGACAAGGGGCGGGCGCTTACGTTCTTCCTGCAATATGAGAAGGGAGGGAGGGACTCTCAGCAGGGATGCAGTCTGGGACATGTAGTTGCAAACCTAGCGACTTCAATGACTTTTCAGACCCCCTAACGACTTTTTTTTAGAAAGAAAGGGACTTTTATCGACTTCTTCTGGAGTTTAGAGACTCTGACATGAAGCAGGCTTTCCTTACTGAGGAGTTAGCAACGCTGCTAAGGGTGCAGAGCCACACATGCGCTCCGAGCTCTGCATGGGAGACTGAAGCTGACAGAGCTGCAGCAGTTAGCAGGTTTCACCCTCAGAGACCACCAGGGGTTCATGTTGAGGCATTTTCAGTTTTTTTTTTTTTTTTGCCATAGACACTGTCAGCACAATCTGCAGTTACACTAACAAAAATGCTGCAAAAAACAAAGAATTATGGAAAAATTACACATGGACTAACATAGAGGAGGATCTACACAAGTTTTTTACATCATGTTTTACATCATGCATCATTTACATCATGTTTTTTTGTAGTGGCATAAATAAAAAGTGACATTTGTGAGACTATACAGTGTTTTGTAAATAATTTTACAAAGAACACCTGGGCCATTGCCTGCATTTTGATGTAAATAGAGGTAAATTACTATGTTCTTTGTTAAAAATTTGCATATGTTTTGAAGTTTACAATTTTTATTTGAAGTTTAAGTTTTAAAAACAGTTCATCACACATATTTGTGGTTTTCACAGTAAAAACGTTACTTTTTTCCACTCGGATTTTATGTTTTGTGTGTGAATTTGGGTCCAATGTGTAAATATAGTATGTCAAAATGATAAAATAACTGTAAATTGACACAGGTGAGGTTGTGCTGAAAAAAATGATACCAGGCAAGGCAAGGTAAAAATTTTGTAAGAGGAAATATAAAGGTAAAATCTAAAGAAGTCAAAAACGGCCAATAGTGACTCACAGACTCCACAGACAAGTCCCTTTGGCGCCACTCAGTGGGCAAAACTACTTTGTCTACTGTAATGTATATTTGGGTCATCTTTGGCGCCCCCTAAAACGTAAACCGTGGGGTGCAGCGTCATGATTTTTACAACTTTGAATGGCCATGGAGTGCAGATTGGCCTGAGCAAATTTGGTGTCAGTGGGATGAAAGCCTTAGGAGGAGTTAGCGAAATTCCAATGTGTGCGAATCGGCAAAAAATGCAAAATAGCCCTTTTACCGTACATTATACAGATACGCGCTCTTTGACTTTTTCGTAGATCTAATTGAGATACACATGATTGTCAATTTTTGTGTCATTTTGCCAAAGCGTACAGGCGTGACAGTCAACAATGTGTATTTTCACCTTAGGGGACAAGAA